GAAATGAAATGAAATGAAATCTGTTTGAGTTAGCCTAGCAAAGAGGAGTTAAAGCTCAAATGATAGAGGATATTATTTTTTTACTTTTAAGTTTATTTTAGAATATTTTTGTTAAAGATTTATACCCTGCATTGGTTCCGGGAAGTCGGGGGAGGGAAGGTTGGGAGGGGTTTGGGTGGGGAGGGGAGGAGAGGGGGAGGAAAACACATGGATGTGCGCAGTGCACGGGTCTTAGTGTCCAGCGACGCCTCCGCGATGGTCCAGCTGCTCGGCGGAGCATCACGCAGGCACTGTACGCGACGTGGACTTTAAAGACAGGTAAGGAGCGCGGGTGGGCAGGCAGTATCCGGTGCTCCAGGCAGGCTCCGGTACGCTCATACCGGGGCGTACCGCCTGCAACCCACCACTGGTTCTTATGCAGGCCTTGCTTCCTTCCAGTTTCTACCACCCCTTGAAGACAGATCAGTTCCAGAATCTCTGGATACCTGATTTTACCAAACCATTTGGCAATGTCAAGACAGGATAAAATGAATTGCCTTGAGCAGATTCCACTTGTTGAAAGTCATATATGGGAATTCTTTCACTTGCCTTTTCCTAGAATTAGGTAGATAAATTTACTCCATGTTAAAAAAAAAAATAACCCAACAATTTTAAGGTAGGTCACATACTGCAAACTAAAAAAATGAACTGAGAAATTAGGAAGTACTGCAGTAAAAAAAAAACTTTGGAGATAAATAAAAGAAGAGATGGGGATCTGGCACACACAAACGATACTCACTGAGAGCAGGACCTTGAGAGAAGTCAAAATGGATGCTCTCCTTTTCTCCAAGCAGAGTGAATTAAGGGGTTTTTTCCCCCTCTATGAAAGGAGAGCCCTAAATAAATAGGAAGTCAAAAAATGTAAAGGCTATAATTTTTAAAAAATCTTAAATGTTAAATAGCTCGCAATTTAGCTGAGGGACAGGCAGTTTTTCTCCCGAGGATTTTAGGCAGACATACAAAGAGTATCACCAAATGTTATTGCAGGTATGGGAATTCTTTCTTTTTAATAGAAATTTTATTCAAAATTACAATTGCAACAATCAAAGGTAATGCAAGGGTGATTCTTCAATTGTTTTCCTCTCAGGAAAACCCTTCCCACTTTTAAAAATTATAGAGGACCCCAAAAAGAACTTTGGGTTCTATCACTTACATTGACTGATATTTATCACATTATACATTAAAATGGACACATTCCCTGCCACTACTGCTTCGCACAATTATCAGATGTGGTTTTAATACTGCATTATTTTTCAACGTAGGCTGGCAAATAATTTTGAGGATCCCTGAATCCTGAGCCCTCCAGGGGTCCTCAGATCACACTTTAAGAAACAAATTAATACAACAGACCCAGCGATCCTCATCATTAAGCAAAATATTTTCTATGCACGTATAAAGAAAATAGCACTGGCAATAAATAGCAATAGCACTTAAGACTCATGGAGGTAGTCCTCAAGTTACAACAGTTTGTTCAATAACCTCTCAAAAGTTTACAACAGGACTGAAAAAAGTGACTTGTGGCCATTTTTCAGACTTATGACCACTGCAGCATTCCCATAGTCACATGATCAAAATTCAGGCACTTGGCAACTGACTCATATTTATGACAGCTGCAGTGTCCTGGAGTCATGCAATCCCCTTTTGAGACCTTCTGACAAGCAAAATCACTGTGGAAGCCAGACTCACTTAACAATTGTGTTACTAAATTAACAACTGCAGTGATTCATTAACAACTGCAGTGATTCATTTAATAACGGTGGCAAGCAAGATTGAAAAATGGGGTAAAATTCGCTTAACAAACATCTTACTTAGCAACAAGAATTCAGGGTTCAATTGTGCTCGTGGACTACCTGTATACCACTTCAAAGTGCTTTAGAGCGCTAAGTGGTTTAGAAAGTAAGCATATTGCTCCCAACAATCTGGGTCCTCGTTTTACCAACCTCGGAAGGAATGAAGGTGGAAAAGCTAACACAATCCTTGGTTGTCTAAACAGAGGCATAAAATCAAAATCACGTGAAGTGGCTTTATAAAGCTTTAGTAAGGCCACATCTGGAATACCGCATCCAGTTTCGGTCACCACATTACACAAAAGAGATTGAGACGCTAGAAAAAGTGCAGAGAAGAGCAACCAAGATGATTAGGGGACTGGAGACTAAAATGGTTGCAGGATTTGGCTAGTCTAGAGGGGAAAAAGGACTAGGGGGACATGATAGCAGTATTCCAATATTTGAGGGGCTGCCACAAAAAAGAGGGGGGGGAATCAACCTATTCTCCAAAACAACTGAAGGCAGGACAAAAAAACAATGGATGGAAGCTATTGATGGAATTAAGGAGGAATTCACTGAGAGTGAGGAAAATTAACCAGTGGAACAGCTTGCCTCCAGATGTTGTGGCTGCTCCATCACTGGGGGTTTTGAAGAAGGGATTTGGACAGCCACTTGTCTCAGGGTCTCCTACTTGAGCATGGGGCTGGACTAGAAAACCTCCAAGGTCCCTTCCAGCTCTATTCTCATTGATTGATTGGAAGGGGAAAAAATGAGATCCGACTAAGGATAAAAAAAGGGGCAGGACTGTTTCACCCCTAACAGAAAACACTTCAATTATCCTTTAAGGATCTCTACAGCTTCTCTACTTCAGCAGTCAGAGAAAACATTGCCACTCATTTACAAAAAGGGGTGCTAGTCCTCAAGATTCTTGCAGCTCCCCCCCCCTCCTCCTCCTTTCCAATTCCAGAAGATAAATGGGGCTCGTTGTTAACCGGGGACATGAGGCATTTTTTAGGGGAAGGGGAGACCTCTGGTTATAAAAGCGGGGGATTCTACGGAACCCTCACTCGCCTGTCCCCGAAAGAGAGACTCGCGGAGGCGACGGCCTCTCAGGTCGAGAGAAACCGTGCCAAGAGGGCTGTCAGACCCTCCAGGCGGCTTCTCCGGGCCCCCCCCCACCCCCGTCCTCCGGCTCCGAAACGGCCTCTCCCCGGCCGCCGGTTGCCCTCGCCCGCTTAAAGGACAGGAGAGACCCCTCCTCACCCTGCGCCAAAGTCGCAGCTCCTTTCCCCCGGAAGCGGAAATGACTCGTTTCTATAGAGTAGCAACCGGGGGAGGAGAAAGAAGGCGCAACAGTCGGATCTCCCTGCGGCCCTCGGATTGGTCAAAGCAGGGTCCCGTGACCGCGAGGGTCTCAGCCAATCACAGCTCGAGTTAAGCTCCCTTCGCAATTGATGGCGCAGGTCAGAAGCCAACGAGCGGCGGCGGGGCTTGTACAGGTTCAGAGACGCGCAGGCGCAGAAAGCGTCCTGCGGATGGCGGGTTCGAATCCCGAGCGCCGCCTGCGGAGACGCGTGGCTGTTGGCTGAATTGTGGATTTGAATCATTCATTTGTCTGAAACCATGTCAGGTATCCCCACCTGGTGCTTTCCCAGTGTGTTAAGTCAAGCATGGCAACATTAAGATGTGTGGACTTCAACTCCCAGAATTCCCCAGCCTGGGGAATTTCCCAGAATTCCCCCAACTCCCCATCAGAAGTTTTGTGATCTCCAAAATGTAAAATTACAACCTTGGAGCTACAGATACAAGTAGTCCTTGACTTATCAGTTCATTTAGTGACCGAAGTCACTGAGCAAAGGGACTTATGACCATTTTTCACACTTGCGACCATTGCGGCATCCCCGTGGTCACACAATTAAAATTCGAATGCTTGGCGATGGACTCATATTATGACGGCCGCCATGTCCCGGGGTCACACAATCCACTTTTGCGACCAGATTGGGGTACCAGGTTCACTTAACGACCCGTATTACTAACTTAACAAGCGCCGTGATTCATATAACAACTGTGGCAAGAAATCTCACTTGATGTTCTCGTTTAGCAGCAGGTATTTTGGCCTCAGTTGTGGCCATAAGTCGGGGACTTACCTGGCGTTCCCTATATAACAAAAAAAAAAACAATTCTGCGTGCCAACCGTCATCTAAAAAAAAAAAAAAAGATCGCTTCCATCCAAAAATAAGACACCCTGTTTTGAAAAGAGGGAAGAAAGATCGCTAAGAATACAAAAAGAATGATCACACACAGAAGTCGCCAGATAAAATCTTTGTAATTTCTCCAGGTAATAAGCATCTCAAAAACACAAAAATTTAAACCTTTTTTTGAAAAACTATTGTTAAGAGAGATTAGCTTGGTGGCTCAACCCCATATGAAAAGAGTTTAATGGATACAAGTTCATCCTCGATTTACGACACCAGGGGGACCAGTTTGTTAAGTGAGTCGCAGCCGATTTTACGACTTTCCTTGTCACGGTTGTTAAGTGAAACAGTGCCATCTTTTAAGTGAATCTGGCTTTCCACTTGGGAGTTTGCTTGTCAGAATCCAGCTGGGAAGGTTGCAAATAGCAATTCCATAACTGTGGCATTTACTCCCAAGTTGACCCCTGTTCTTTAGCTGTTTTCTGGCTGCTCTGCGCATGTGCACACTGGGAACAGGCTCCAGCTGTTCTTCTGCCCCACTGATGTCTGACTCTGAAGGCAGCTGATAACTGTCAGACGGCCCTGGCCCCCTCTCTGCCTCCGACACAGAGCCTTCCCAAGACTCCAGGACTGGCCCATCTTCCTCCCCAACCTCCTCACTGTCCGAATCTGCTGCCAGCTCTTCTGGCAGGCCAACACCACTGACAAGCATTCGCTTGTGATCGTTCAAAATTTAAAATTCAGAGTCTTGGCAATGGGCATATGCAGGGAGTCCTTAATTTTACAACAGTTCTTTGAGTGACTGTTCAAGTTACGACGGCACTGGAAAAAGTGATGTTATGATCATTTTTGCACACTTAACGACCGTTGCAGCCTCCCCGTGGCCACGTGATCAAAATTCAGACGCTCGGCAACTGGTTCATACTTACGACAGTTGCAGTGTCTCAAGGTCATACAATTCCCCTTCTGATCAGCCAAGTCAATGGGAAAGTCAGATTTCCCTTACGATGCTCAACAAATGCAGGGTTTCGCTTAACAGCCGTGGCAACCAAAGTTCATTAAAATGGGGCAAAACTCATCTGTCTTCCTTAGCGACAGAAACTTTGGGCTCAACTGTGTGGCCGTTAAGCCGAGGACTACCCATACCCCCCAGGATTCTTGGAAGTAAGTTAAGGCACAATGGAATATTGTCTCCTGCGTTTTGATGATGATATTCAGCCCCAATTTATGGTGAGCTGAAGTCCTCTGTGTGGATATCAGGAACCACCCTTTATAACCAAGGATGTTGTGATGGCAAGCTTTGACAGGCCCTCATATATGTGTCCTAGTGTCCCCCTAGTTACATCTGGCCATATGTTTAGGCAAAGGCGTCCAGGAAAGTCGCAATAAGTCACCTACATCATGACTTCATCGGTGCGATTACATCATGACGAACATATAATGCCACTTCCCTCCAAGAGCTGTGGTGGTGCGGGAGTTAGGATGCAGTATTTCAGGCTAAATTCTGCTCACCGCCGGCAGACTGCAATTTGGCAGTTCGATTCTCACCGGCTCAAGGTTGACTCAGCCTTCCATCCTTCCGAGGTGGGTCAACTGAGGACCCGGATTGTTGGGGGTCAAGAGGCTGACTCTGTAAACGACTTGGGAGAGGGCTGTAAAAGCACTCTAAAGCGGTATATAAGTCTAAGCACTATTGCTATAGTGCAGTGTTTCTCAACCTTGGCGACTTTAAGTCCTGTGGACTTCAACTCCCAGAATTCCCCAGCCAGCATTCGCTGGCTGGGGAATTCTGGGA